TTTTATGCTTTAATTATTTTCTAAGTTTTATTTTTTTTGAAAACACATATACTAGTACTGCAGTACTTATGTGTGGCCTGTGTGGCCTGATTGATTTGTCTAACAACTGAATAACTAACTAACAAAAGAATTGTGTATAGAGAAATGAACGAGGTACAGAATAAAGAAATCCTCCAATTACAGACAATTTTAATTGTAAAATTAATTTAGTTAGAATTTTACAATAATAATACTTTATTTCCGTAAGCAAACACAGTTTATTGGATTTACACAATATAAATATCCAATAGACAATATACAGCATAATATAACATTTACACACAAATTATACAAATCAATGAAAGAATTAAGCGGAGCATGACATATAGCCATATTAAACTAATAAAAGGCATTTGAATAATAAACCATTACGTGCCTTTTCTGCAGAATATAAATATTTTCCCACGTTGTTTAGCTCTTAGACATTTTTCACAGATAACAGTTGCACTTATTTTAATAAAAGAAGCGTTGTTCTTACAGATAAAGAAAAATGCCATAAAAACTTAAAGAATATAGAAATTAAGGATACCTCCTTTCATACCCTCTTACATGGCTTGATCCTTATTTTACTTAAGGGGTGGTCATTTGATATGCTGTTTTTTTTGGTGGATTGGCTATTTATTTACCTCTGTTGCTACGAATGCATATTTTTTTAGCGGATTCCCTCCCTGTTTTGTAAACTCGTATTCAAAATAGTTTCTGTTCAGTGAACTTAAGTTATTTCAATCAAAGTAATGGGAATAAAAGTGCTTGTTTTATAATAATCGTATTTTAATATTTTAGAAATACTCATCAATGTAGTAATTATAGACATTGTGTCATGATCGTTTAGTCTGATTGAATAAGACTAATTCATAACTATATGGAACTAATATACATAAATGTATTCATTAGTCCCAGATTTAAAATAAATACACAATTTTGTTTGTTTTACTGGTACAGTGAGGTGTCTATCAAGACAATACCTAAGCTTTCACTAATTTCTTTTTTTATTTTTTTAATATTTTTCAATTCAATTCAATATTTTATTTCAGTCTCAACTCTCAATAATATATAATACAACATTACGTCCTTGATTACATTTAGTGTAAAAATATATAGATATAAAAAGAGAGCCATTCTGTACAGAATTATAAGACTATAACATTTATAACATTATAGAGAATTCGTCTGTTATAAAACATATTTATAAGAACATTATTTACAGTATAAAACATTTCTACGTCTATATAAAATAAGATAACAGGCTTTTGCACAGCTACGAATCATATTAATATCCACTAATTTCTGTTTATCATCAAAAGACATAAAATCACTATTAAAATGTGTTGCTTCATCAAATATTTTTTTCTAAAATCGTCATATAAAGGACGCGATTGTACAATTGAATCTTCAAAATATATTATTTATTTTGCATGCCATTCATAGGAGGATCCAGGGGGGCCGCCCCTCCCCTTTTCGTGGGAAAAATTTGGTCGATTATATAGGGAATCACTGAAGCATAAGATACTTCCCAATAAATTACGTTTTAAAAGTCAGATTCAAAATATTAAAAAGAAATTTAGACGTAATGTTCTTTGATAGTATTTGTAAAATCCTTTCAACACTTTTCTTCACTCAGTGTGATTTAGAGCTTGACACATTAAATATAACCTTGTAAGAAAGTACAATACTATCGGAATGCGTTTTGTCCGTGTACCAATACGGCTAATGGTCTAGTTATCTATATTGAAGCATTCACAAATAAGATGATTAGGTAACAAAATCTCTGGCACTTTACAGGGGCACATCCAGGATTTTTGGAAGGGGTGTAATTATTTGTTGTTGTAATAAAAAAAAGGGATACGCTCTCTAAGCCCACACTTAAACAGAGAGATCATAGACGCACATGTATGTACAACGACGCGACCTACACCTTCAACGCAACACACTACACAAAATGAACACTGTTACACAGGAAAGGTTATGAAATAGAATTGCATCGGAAAGTATTTCGAGAGATGAATATCAAAAGGGTAGACGTCAATAAGACAGCAATCAACCAAATATGAAAGACACAAATAACATCTATTATAGGTCAACAATTGACAGGTGCCCATACAATATGCCGATTCAAAAATTTTCTCCGAGTCTAGAAAAGCAATGAATGAATTTAAAAGAGACGACCTGCCATTAACAGCCAATTTCCCGAAATGACTTCATAGAATAATAATATATCACCCTATGAGGTTCCTGACCTGGCTCATTGTAAAGAATTTGCTATACGTAGATAAACTATATGGAAGCAAATCATATTATTCAAGAAACCGTGCAAAGAGCCCTCTCATGAACGTGATTCATAAATTAAATACAAATCTTAGAAAACCAGGCATTGTGCTGGTGGGGACTAGCACGGTGTTTGTGAATTTTGACAAGACGTTAATCTTATTTCGAATCAAAAGTTGCAGAATCAATTATCCTGGGCATATAATTGTATTCATTTGGATGTATAACACTTATATGAACTTTGAACGTGTGCTCTGACGGTATAAATGGCGTTTTTAAATCATCGTTATTACATATCACTTAAAAAGTGAACATCTTTAGTCAACATCAGATAAAAAAAATAACATTTAATTCAAAGAGTCTTGAAAAGCTACAAAATTCCTTCAAATGGTAGGAAGTTTTTGACGATTGGCAGCTTCGATATGACATGAATGAATTTTAATCCTTTGTTGATTAGAACATTCCTCTATTGAATTTTGAAATAGCAGATTTTTACAGAGCCCTAACGTTCCAAAGAAGATTGCACAACTTTGATTATTGTGTTAACACCACTGTCCCAGGATTAGGGGAGGGTTGGCGCGCCCGCTAACATGTTTAACCCCCGTCACATTCTGTATGTGCCTGTCACCAGTCAGGAGCTTGTATTTCTGTGGTTGTTGTTTGTTGCTACATGTGTGTATATCATATTTGTATTTCGGTCATAGTACATAAATCAGGCCGTTATTTTTTTCTCGTTTGATTTTTTTTACATTTGTTATTTCGGGGCCTTTTATTACTGACTATGCGGTATGGGTTTTGCTCATTGTTGAAGGCCGTACGGTGACCTATAGTTGTTAACATCTATGTCATTTGGTTTCTGGTGGATAGTTGTCTCATTGGCAATTATACCACATCTTCTTATTTTTATTTTAAATTAAGTCTTTTGCTTAGAACTTTCAAAATTGAGCATTTAAAACACATTATTGTGTTTGTTGTACAGTCCACGCCCCAAGCGCTTGTGCCTCTTTCTCTATCAACAGAAAAACCCAAAGTGTGTTTTTTTCCCTTACGACGTAATTTTTTTCGGCGTTTATCAATAACAAATTATTCCTGAACTAAGCACGAGATATATATATATATACGGCTATTTGCGATTTTTCTTGTTTGTTTCTCTCTCTCTCTCAATCTCAAGTAATACGAAATTTCACGTTGAAATTTTTAATCATTCATGTACAAAAATACTGCAACTAATTCACATCCGAATCCGTTTTTATCTTTATCTTTAATTATATGATTATGAATATTTTAGATGTGCGAGTCTTCCATGGAAGATTGCGCCACTTCCCTATAGCAATTAACTCATTTTTTGGAATTCCTTCTCTATATTTAATTTTCTCTTCGCAACAAAAAAGTGGAGGGGATAATGTAACGTGACTGTCCGTCCGTCCGTTACACACATGTTAAAACTGTATTAGCTCGCATCTCAAACGATCTTTACCACGCTTAATGTACACATTCAATAAAAAGTAAAATAACAAAATTACCAAACTCCAAGAAAATTCAAAACGGAAAGTCCCTTATCATATGGTAAAATCAAAAGCTCAAACACATCAAACGAACGGAAAACAACTGTCATATTCCTGACATGGTACAGGCATTTCCTTATGTATCAAATGGTGGATTAACCCTGGTTTTAAAGCTTGCTAAACCTCTCACTTATATGACAGTCGCATATAATTCCATTATATTGACAACAATGTGTGAGCAAAACAAGCAGACATAATAGGTAAAAATGTCAAAAATTGGGGTACAGCATTCAACATAGTGTTATAATCTTAATCACTATAAAAAACAAACAACTATGTCAACAAAGAAAATCAAAATAGCATATAGACACTCTATATACAAAGCACATCAGCAAAAATGAAAGATAAGAATACGAAAATGACCATAGCACAATAATACAATGGCGGGAAGTATAAATACAGAGTCACGCCATAAAGATATTACCAAAATGGACTAAATAGTAAAGGTTAAAAATATACAAAGACAAATAAAAAGAACACTATAACACGTAATTAAGATGATAAACAACGTCAGTACCTAGAATCTATACTTCAAGACCATCATGTATTATTTGTGAAGTTGATACGGAATACTTATCAACAAGGTCTTGTTATCTTCCGATGAATTTTTTTAGAAAAAGAACAAGATGCTCTGGTTCATCAACTTTCTGCTCAGACACTGGTGACGTTTTATAAAGTCTGAGTAGCAGCTGCAATTTAAGATCTTGAAAACCGAATGAGTTGGGAAATGTATATCCCATATGCAGGTGAAGTTGGTATATTGCTGCTAAGGTGGGGGAAATTTATTATTCCTAAATTAAAATCGTCTTGTTTGTCATAGATTCTGGTACTGAGATGACCGCTTATGTCAAATTCGAGGCATAAGTCTAAAAATGAGGCGGAGGAAGCCGTGTCTGTTGATTCTTTAATTTCTAGTTTTGGAGGATATATTAATGGATCCAATCATAAAAGTTCGAATTGTTAATGGAAAAAACATCATCAATATATCTGAATGTAAAATTTAATGATCTGGCTTCTTTGATCTTCTTGTTTTTGACAAGTGTCTGAACGAACTCCGACTCATAAGAAATAAGAAGAGGTCGGCAAGGAGAGACGCACAGTTCTTTCCCATAGGAATGCCGACAATTTGCTTTAAACGTCTACCTCCAAATTCAACAAATATACTGTAAATAAGAAACTCCAGCATACTGTTCACAATGTCATGTTCATCGGTGTATCATGTATTACTTTTTTTTTTCACTATTAACAAAATATGCCGTATGGTATCCCAAAACAAAACAAAAAAATATAGCGCATGCTTCCATTTTTATATTGAAAGGAATTGTGGATCATTTCTTTTAGACGATTTTTCAATTTCACATGAGGAATGGTGGTATAAAGGGTTGAAAAATCAAAGCTTTAGATAAAATAAATTTCAGAGAAAGATCGAGATTTAAAATTATCCAGAAGTTCTTTAGAGTCTTTTAGAATCCGAATATGGTTAATACCACCACGTGAGTAAACAGTTTCACGGTAATTCTGAAGACCCTCTTTCACTGCGGACATAATTTTTGTCAATCTAATGAACTTCCTTTGTAGAACATGCAGATGAGCCTGCAATGTACCGTTGTTTGTACGGAATTTTGTGAAGCTTTAGTTAGATATCTAATACAAACATTGTACATACATTGTCAAAAGACGTAAAAATCGTTTGATCACACATTTACTTAAAAAAAAATGCATGCTTTTCCCAATTTCATCAAGGAATGTAGCATTTTAACAGGCTGTAACAGAAATTTTAATATTAAAACAAAATTATTAAAGCCATCAGTATATGCTTTATTTATAGAAATTCATAATGAATCTCTTATCAGTAAGCTGAACAGGTTATGCACTGGTAAGTAAAACAGTAAAACGCATAGAGAAATATTAACTAGATGCATATATAAGTATGAAAATAATGAGATGAGATATGATTGCCAATGAGACAACTATCCACCAAAGTTAAAATAAAGTAGACTGTTTTAGCATGAGTTACCACAATCTTATACTCTCTTCCTCGACTATGACTTTACCCGAGTCGTTATGTATGGCTATCAGCTAATACCTGAAACGTAGTCCCGGGAACAAGGATATCCAATACGCAGCTTGAACCTCGAATGTTATTTGATTTAAGCTTCATCATTATCATTATGATGACATGATCAGATACAATTTTAGTAACAATGTAGTATGTTGTATTGTACAATGCAGTATTGTTGTCAAACAACTTTGGATAATTTTTCGATTAGAACAAACACAAAACGCGTCATTTAAAGTATTTTTTCTCAAGTTTTAATATTGATGATGTTTTGTAATCTGTATAAAATATAGCTTTGAATTATCTAATATTACCAATAACTTTCAAGCATTTGTCGAAAAAAACGTCTGAAGATTTTATAAACTTTTCATCTACAACATATTTTGCATTTAGAAGATGGAAAGCTTTGTTAACTTTATGACACAATTGACAGTTACTTTTAGACCATGGAAGGTATATAGGCGTTGAAAGTATATGACTTTTTTAAAATCTAAATCTGGAAGCACAATGAGCTATAGTTGTGTGAGACTGTCATTGGCTGTCTGAATCTCTACAAAAATCGATAAAACTACATGTATTTATTTGTTAAATCAGAGACTATTTAAGTCAATAGTATAGTAATAGGAAGTTGGTAAAACTCTGAAATTGTAAAGAATTTCTTAGCATCACTGTAAATATTGCTAAAGATTTTGTTAGATACTAGTACCTAACTTAGCTATTCAATCTCATGAATATTTTGGAAACATATTTTTTTTTCTAAATCAGAATAACATGTTAGAACTTTTTTATCAACAGATAACTTTTTTTCTAAATTAGAATAACTTATTTGAACTTTTTTTTTATCATCAGATAACCTGTTAAAACTTTTTTTGAGAGACAATGATTATGAATAAAAGGCATGTTTACAGTTACAAAGATAACAAATTGCTGTTGAACTATTTTTGGATGATGTCTACTGTTACACAATTACCCTGCATCTATGTATACAATTATAATAGATTCAGATATTACAGTATCTAAGATACGATTTAAATTCATTGGCATGTAAGTAATCACAGGACTAATGGTTAAATTGGTATTTTTTAAAACTGTTATGACCCGTCTATTTTTTTAAAATGCATGTCAAAGCAAGTATTTTGGTACAGATATTTCCAGTTTGTCTTTATCATTATAATATTGTGTGGGTAGACATAACTTTGCCTATGTAGGAAACTAAAATGACCATAACTTACTGATAGTTTAGATTTTTTATTTATTCCTCTTTAACCAGGTTTACCTCATTTCCAGATAGTCAGTGTAAAATATAATCTATTTAATAACATCCAAGGTGTAATTTAAACAAAATTTATTTGTTTTATTCTAAATTCCCTGATTTGAACCAGTTAATCTATAAAAAAAAGTTCTCAGTTATTTCAGGGATCTTGTAAATTCCCTTATCAATGAAGTAATTATACAAAACTCTTGAAATGTCAGGGATTTTATAAAATCATTAGTTTTACAAATTCACTTTAACATATAGACTAATCAAAACAATTACATGTATTATCAAGTGTGTATATACATGCGACCACCATGAAAAGAGGATAACCCTATTGATAATATAAGTTTAAGCCTTTTCGACAAGGTGCAGTCCAGACGACTTGGCAATTTCTTCATTACACATAAATGTCAAATGTTTGAAATCGACTAATATTTTAGACTAAAGAGAAAGAAACATGTCAAATAAACAACAAAGAGAAATTTAAATATAGATTGTTGTTTGAAGAAACACAGACAATGGCAAAACAGAAAAACATAAACAAATAGAAAAACAATTGACCTTAAAATTTAAAAACAGTCTAAAGATTGAACGGGGTCGCCCCGTAATTCCGACACCCCATTGGTCCGACACACCCTAATACGCAGACACAGATCACAGATGCTGTGTCTATTCCTCCGTCTATTCCATCTATAGGCGTGTCTCCAATAATCCCTACCACCTGATCTTCCATGGAGGAAATGTCTTCTGGGGGAGGACCTCCGCCTGTCTTTCTTGCCTCACGTCTATTGTGTGCCACTTTCTTTTTGGCGTTGCTCATATATGTTGTCCATTTCTTTCGAATTTCATCAACTGTTCTTAGGTGGTGGGTATTTGAAGAATTCATCTTAGTACAAATACCATCCCATGTCTTCTTCTTAATGTTATTTGTCGCAACATTTGACAACTTGCTGAATAGTATTCCTTTATGTTTTTCAACTTCGGCCAGCATAATTTGAATTTCGATTTCGGAAAAATTTGGAGATCGTTTCTTGCTCTTGCTGATTCAATATACGAAATTAAATCGAGTTTATATAGTTAAATTTCAGCACGATAATAGCCTCTAAAAAGTTTTGAGACAATTAATTTAATCGTTGAAAGAATTTTATTCTTTCATTTTTACAGTTTATATAATGCTTGTATTAGTATATGTTAAAACCTTTATTTTGTGTATTTTTTTCATAACAGATGAGACCACCCCCCTAAAAAACACTATTAAATAACCTTTGAATATATAAAGAAATGCATCAAAATCTATTTCATTTCATTCACTACATATTGTATTAATTAAATAAATATGTTAGGATGGTCTTAGGACCATCATAGTTAGGACTGTCCTAAGATAGCTTTGTTTTACATCCTAAGACATGTCTCAGACTCGTCCTAAGACCATCCTAAACAATGTCCTAACACATGTCTTAGGACATATCTTAGGATACTTTCATTGACACGGCCCCTGGTTTTTTTTTTTGTGGATTGGCTATTTATTTACCTCTGTTGCTACGAATGCATATTTTTTAGCGGATTTCCTCCCCCACCCCTCCCCGAAAATTGAATAGTCGTCCACTAAACTGAACTCAGTAAAAAATTCGCTTTGGTTTTGACACTTTAATAATGTAGACATTTCGTAGATAATCATTCATTTTTATTTTTTTGTTACATTCAAAGATTTTTAATTATTTATATGCCTATACAATGACATAAATAAACTACGTCAAATTAATCATTCTCTTTAAATTCCAACCTCTGTTTTGTAAACTCGTATTCAAAATAGTTTCTGTTCAGTGAACTTAAGTTATTTCAATCAAAGTAATGGGGATAAACGTGCTTGATTTATAATAATCGTATTTTAATATTTTAGAAATACTCATCAATGTAGTAATTATAAACATTGTGTCATGATCGTTTAGTCTGATTGAATAAGACTAATTCATAATTATATGGAACTCATATATAAATGTATTCATTAGTCCCAGATTTAAAATAAATACAAAATTTTGTTTGTTTTACTGGTACAGTGAGGTGTCTATCAAGACAATACCTAAGTTTTCAATAATTTTTTTTTTTTTTTTGTATTTTTCAATTCAATTCAATATTTTATTTCAGTCTCATCTCTCAATAATATCTATCCTACTGAAACAATCCATCTTATCATGGTATGAACCTTTTACAAATATCGCAGGCTTATCAGTGTGGACATATAGAATGAATTTCATAACAGCGTGGACAAGGACACATGATATTTAAATGTTATCGTGTTTATCACTGGCTGTCGACAACAATGACTTCACGCAATTACAGTATGTCAGGGGCCTCTCAATGGGGATATACATAATTACTATTTTACACATGTCCATTCCAAAAATAAAAGTTTTTGCATGAAAGTTTATAGGAATTTATTTTGAATATATTTATATACTCGCAACAAAAAGTTTCTTTTGACAGAATGAGTATATATTCAGAGGTGATATCACCAAGTAATCGAGAAAAAAAACCGTTTTGTTTTTCTTGCACAAATGTTCTGTGCCTCCTTAAAAAAATAAGAAAACATTTAGATCTAAGATCAAACCAATACAATTTTTCATAGGATGCATTTAAATAAAAGTACAATCCTCTTTCCGCAAACTACATTTCAACGTGAAAATGTATTTAATGTTTTTTTTTCAGGTTGTGTAGTTGTAGTAGTCTTATACATTTTTAGTATCAGTTGTATACAATTATGTAGACAACAATATCCGATTTATGAAAAAGGAGAACCTTCTGCAATCTTTGTTAATTCCTTTCCGAAAAACAATGGTGCATTGTGTCCTGTTTTTAAAGGAGGTTTCGGAAATCATATTTTCCAATTTGCTTCTACGTTCGGAATAGCCAAGTCCAAAAATATGACTATCCTTGTAAATAAAAAAAGCAAACGTTAGTAAAGTTTTCAAAGTGACTGTTGATGTGAGAAACGATACAAGCGATTGTAACAGTTTTAAAGCACGCATCGAAAAATTTACAGCCAAATACAATGACAATCTTTTAAATTTTAATCTAGAAAAAATACAGAGTACAGAATGCCTTACTCGAATTTCCTCGGAGTTCAGTATTTTTGTGATTTTACTTTTTACAATCATGAAAATATTTCTTTCCTTTTAGAAAACAGCTTAGAGAGCAACTTACGTTTCGAAAAGAAATTTTGAAAATTGCAAATGAATTTGGAAATATTTCTGGCTGTAATATAACTTTAGTAGGAGTACATATACGACGAGGTGATATGGTTAATATCTGTGACAATGGTTTTAATGTGGCATCACCGGAATATGTCACAAAAGCTGTCAGCTAACAGTTGTAAGCTTTGGTTGGTGGTCTGGATGGTTAGCTGGAGGGGGAGTGACATACTTTAAATGGCCAGATAAGCCAGGATCAGGATATGCGAAAAGAATTAACTACAAAGATTATTTCTATCCAGGATGGATTGGATTATAACATGTGTTCATTCATAGTTAAATACATAGTTATCCTGTGTTTGACAAAGTTCATGACATTTGATTGGATGAGAGCAACCCATGTGATGCCGTTTTATGCCAAACTTCTTATTTATTCATTTCGGAACTACTTTGAGCAAAAATGAAACCACATTGATAGCGACAACTTAATAATCTTGAATAGATATCTTGTTCACTCGTCAAAAATTGTTTATCAAACACTTATTCACTAATTGTTTCCATGGATATTTAATTTTCAAGTCTTCTGAAGAAAAAGTTTCGCGTTTTCTTTATGATATCTTTTTTACCATACAGCCAATGCATTACATCGATACAGAGAAAAAAATGCAAGCAACTCCTATTAGATATAAGAAAATAACATTACAAGAACTTTTAAATTATAAACATGCTTATCAAAGGTCGATGAATTTAACATATTTTGGCATACAATTAAAAAAATCAATTAAGTTTTGAAATGCAACAGGACTACTTACATGTAATTTTATTTTATTTCCTGATGAACATGAATTAAAACCATCTAAATTTTTGAAAATGTAAAATTTGTCTGAAACTGTCAGCTAAATAACAAAAACTTCATTTTCTCGAAAACAAACACGGTAATCTATTTCTTATTTTAAGATTTTAGTATTAAAAAATATTAAGTATACTAAATTTTCAAATGTTCAAACAGGAATAGCAAAATGGAGATAATAGAAAGTATTCTGCACCGAAAATACATAGTGGCTTTTCAAACTTTATCATTCTGTTACTTCGCACAAATTTTGGATATCATAAAGGCATCCAAATTTTCATGTTTGATTCATTTTTTTCTCTCTATTGGGTATCTGTTACAACGCGGAGAATCACAACCGTAGTAGTAACACATATACAGTTTTTATCAATAAAGATCCGAGTTATGCCACTTTGTCCGACGAATAAACTCTCAACACTTACACCAAACACAAGCCCATCCTTACAAAGGTAAGATATAATTTTTCTATTGCAATTATAGGAATATTGAATTATTCTTTAGAAGTGAATTTTTGGAATAATTTATACATAAGGGAATGAAAGTTGTCTTCCTTCCTACAGAAAATCGGATAATTTAGTCTTGAAAAAGACATTTTTCTGTATAAATTACGAATAATATAACAAACTTTCTCTAGCACATGACAAAGAATTTCAGTAGCACTCGAATCAAAACTGTTAGAAGGTCATACCATAAACGAAATTAAAGAGCATTAAAACCCTAAAATTTATAAAAGTTGTGTCAAATACGACTAAAGCAATCTATGCCTTAGTGCAGAAAACCTTAGTTTTTCGATAAATTTAACATTTTATAAACAGTTAATCTTCAAAAATGTGCTGACTACTGGATTGTTTCTATCTTATCTGTCACTCTCTGCATCTAATAGTTCTATATTCATTCTTTCCAATCCATGGCATAATAGTAAAGACTGATCATATTTCTTATAGTTTCAGTTAGTGGTGTTGATCAATGAGACTTGAATACAAACAAGTGACTTAGCTGTGACGATAGCCGAGGCAGTTTGTTCTGGTCCTCGACAGTGTTTAATCTATAATTTTCTTCAAGGTTATGAAACAGAAAAAATCGTAAATATCTGCTACTTCATTTCTAAACATATGAAAACCAATATAAGTGACACCATATGGATGTTAACTATTAAAAACCTTTTCCTGTTCTCACTTTTATGAGGGAAGTAGAAAAAATAGTGTCAAAAAGTGTTATAATTTAAGTCGTAAGATATCTTGTGTACATGTAAGCCCTCAATAGATATATACGAGCAAGGGTATATAAAGATTCTTTTATCGATATTGAATTTAAAAGCGCACACTGATATAAAGAAATAAGTAGGGCAAACATAATTTTCTCTAACTTTAATCAATCGTTGTATGATACAGTAAAATCCTACGAGAAAGTACAAAACAATATGTATGTCAAAGCTTTTGTCCACACTAGACAGTGCCCTAAGGTAAGTCTGGACAAAAGGCCAAGGTATATAAACTACGTCAGGCATTTATAAGTCCAAAGTTTTCTGGCGAGACTACATCCTCCCAATTTTGATTAAGTCCCTACATCAGAGCTTTTGTTCACACTAGGTACAATAGATGCACATGGGCCGTGGTCCAAGGTTTGCCGGGCCGAAAGGCCCAAATGGGTAAAAAAGTATAACAAAAATACCGAACTCCAAGACAAATTCAAAAAGGGAAGTCCATAAAAACTGACAAAATCAAACGCTATCAACCAACAGAACAAGTGAAAAACAACTGCCATATTCCTGACTTGGAACAGGCATTTTCCTAAACTCAGGAAAATTGAAACTTAGTTGTAGTCCTTCTGAGATTTTACCACCTTGTTATTTGGACCGCCAATCCATAGGAATAGATTATCTTAGCTGTATTTGGCAAATCTTTTCGGAATTTTGGGTCCTCACTGTTCTTTAATTTCGTACTCTATTAGGTTTTTTTAAATTTTTCGAATCGAGCGTCACTGATGAGTCTTTTGTTGACGTACAAAATTATAGCCCGTCTTCTTTGATGATTATTTTAGCCAGTTCATTTTACTTGCACTCGGTGTTGACAAAAGGGGAGGGGGTAGTCAGATTCCAACGTAGGACCTTTGTTGTTGGCCTTCAGTGAACATGCTCACCTGAATCTCTTGTCAATCAAGCCTTACATCAAATGCCTGTCCATTGCGCCAAGTGCGAACAAAAAATACAGTTTTTTATCACATTGAAGGTATAGAGAAAATTGTCATTACCCCCTCCCTCCTTAATTTATAAAACGGCGTCCCCTTATAAATTCAGTATCGAGAAAAGATCAATACCAATCCCACCTTGCATAAATGTTTTGAAAACTTTATATGTTAAACAGTATATATTGTGATTTAAAGTAAACACACTTTTCCTCGTACACTTTAGAAACTTTATTTAGAAGTTATGGTTCGTTTGTAAAACTGAAAAGTATTTTGCTTCGCATCACAGTGCGAAACTATCAGTTTCTGTCGATATACACGCCATCTTGTAATAATTACTTAGTTATTTCTGATTGGTTGCATATTGATATGGCTACGATTTTATAGGCTCGAATGAGTTATAACATTAGGAATACGTCAAGAAGGGGATCAGAAATTGTATACGGATGGTCTGTATGAATGGGTATAAGAGACCCGATACATGAATGTATTTCTATAGGATCACATATTGTTGAATAAGTGCTGATAGTCAAAATGATATATTTATTTCTACGCATTTCCTTTGCTTTCATCTATATATCACACTTAGTTTTTATTTACGTTATATCCTTTCGCCGTGCCTTATTCTTGACCATCAGAATGGTGTCTGTTCCGTTTCATGTCTCTCTCAGAAATGATTAAGTTGCTTAAATAGATACATAATTAATCAATTTTTTGGTGTGAAAATTAATTGAATTTCGTCCTCCTTGGAGGAATAAATGTCTTCAGATATCGGTTTTAAGGCACGTTTTTCGTATTGTTCGCTGGTTAAATTACAATTTATTCAGCAGCTTGATTCTCGACTAGCTTGATATAAATAAGAAGATGTGGTATGAGTGCCAATGAGACAACTATCCATCCAACGGTCACAATGTGTTAAAAGTAAAAAATTATAGGTCAAAGTACGGCCTTCAACACGGAGCCTTGGTTCACACCTTACAGCAAGGTATAAAGGGCCCCAAAAAGACTATGGTGACCCGACGTGATGATCCTGGTAATATACATCACATAATTTTGCAAAAAGAGTCCCCTCTTCAAAATTGCATTGAAGGGATTTTGTTCGTGCATCATTCTCCTTCGTCAGAATTGTCTTCCCATTACACATACAGATTTTATCAAGCATGATAAGGATGATGCGTTTTTGATTTAGCTCTTGAAAACCGATAGAATTATTAGCAATGCATTATTACGAACCTTAGTTGAAAGGAAAAATGTTTCTTCTAGCTGATAAGCATCATTTAATGCACTTTTAGGTCTTTTGTCCTTATAAAGTTTTTGCCCGACTGGTTGTCAAAGGATATTTTCTAAAGTTCAATAAAACAATAAATTTAAATTTAAATATTCGGATGAAGAGCAAACTAGAAATTTTCTTACCTAGATAACACACACAAAAAAAAGTTTATTTTTAGTTCAACACTTTAAACATTTAAAAGTAAAGTTTCTCGTCAAGTGCTTTTTGCAAAAAATTAAATGATGTCAGGGAACATTAATTTTCTGTGTCAAGTACATTAACTTTCATGAATAAATTAAACGTTTAAACTTCATTTAAAAATGAGTGTACTAAAATTAAAAAAAGTACGAGTTAATATGAATCTTAAAGTTTTAACATTTGTATTAGCACGAAGATCTTTTCGTTATTAAAACACACCTTCTCTGCTGTGGTGGCTAATTACAAAGGAATTCATATATAATTGATTTTTCAGTACTGTTAATTTTTAATGTTATTATATCAACATTCAACCTTGATATATAAAAATACTGTTATCTGAAGCGATATGATATATAATTAATTTTTGTTTTGTACGTTTTCATGACAAAACAGTCAACTCGAACATGCCTATAACGATTCATCCAATGGTTTCGATCTTATGGACATTTTTGTAGAACTAATATTGCTGTTATTTTTTGCTGTTTACAGTTTCTACCTATCTATTGTAGTTTGGAGATTAAAGACAAATTAAAACTCGAAAAGAAAATCATTTAAGGGCTATAAATCCTATAATGAGTCATCGAATAAGATTTTTAGTGCTTGCCTATAATCATCTCGAAAATTATAACAGATAGGTAGGAAATATAAAAAAAACTTAAAATTAATCAACACATTACAGAATCTACAAAAAACTCGAATGACTAAACAAAGGCAACAGTAGTATACCGCTGTTCGAAATTCATAAATCTATTGAGAAAAAAACAAATCCGGGTTACAAACTAAAACTGAGGAAAACACATTAAATATAAGAGGAGAACTACGACACAACAGAAACACAACATTAAAATGTAACACACACAGAAACGAACTATAATATAACAATGGCCATTTTCCTGACTTGGTACAGGACATTTTAAGAAAAAAATGGTGGGTTGAACCTGGTTTTGTGGCTAGCCAAACTCCCGCTTTTATGGCAATGTTAAATATAACATTAAAATGACAACATTACATGACAGGACTACAATACAAATAAATGGGAGAACATATAGGACAGAGAAACATACGAATAATAGCTAACAAAAGGTACCAGGTTTAAAATTTAAGACGCACGTTTCGTCCACACATGACTAACCAGTGACGCTCAGATAAAAAAGTTCGAAAGCCAAAACAAGTACAAAGTTGAAGAGCATTGAGGACCAAAAGTTCCAAAAAGTTGTGCCAAAACGGCTAAGGTTATATGTCTGGGATAAGAAAATCCTTAGTATTTAGAATAATTCATACTTTTGCAAACAGTAAATTTATACAATTGACTATATAATAGAACTTCAATAAAACCATTGTAGACTCCATATAGAAGTAATTGCTTTTAAATGATGATATTTTTTTTAATGTTGGAGTTTCTTTCTATAATCTCGAAAACTAGAATAGATATAATAATATAGAAACTGTAAACAACAAAAATAAATAGCAATTGCTACTTATCTGTTATAGTTTTCGAGATGATAATAGACCAGCACTATAAAAGTAGTTAAAAAATCTTAATTTAAAGGCAATTACTTCTATGTAGTGGACATTGAGAGTAGGAAGATATTGTAATTCTGAGCAATTAAGTGAGGTCGGATTTTTTCTATTGATTTTGATTTTCAAGATATTAGAAAATTAATGCATTTGACGCTTATGTTTTATTTTAAGACATGATGGCCATGTTGGTAGATTGACCGGAACAAAAACACCAACTATATATAAGCTACGTGAGCTACATATCAACAGATGTGGAAACTAGTAGTTTTAGTAAAACTATCTAAGGAACACATGCCGCAACATGCTGCCGAAAAACGAATGTAACTATCACTATATTTTTTTTCGCATACAAAAAGAACATCATAAATTGATTGATTTCTTATTTGTCTCAGTTTATAAAGTCAATAGTGACAAAATAACTGTCACAGATTTTATATACCAATTACTTATTTCCGCTTTGTCCTTACAAATGTTTTGATTCGAGCGCATCTGATGAGTCTTGGGTAGACGAAACGATCGTCTAGCGTATTAAATTATAAGCCTGGTATCTTTGCTGAAATCCTTCATAAAATAAACCTTGGCGCAACCGAGATTGTAAATTTGCCAGACAAAATTATCGAAAATTTAGATGAAAACTTTTAAAAAGTCGAACATCAGCCAATAAAACAAATTTGGCTGAATCGGAAAAAAATATATAGAAAACTTTAAATAGAATCATAGATCATACGGCCGGCAGAATCGTTTTAAAAGTTTGAAAGAATTGAGAACAAAGAAGTCCAGAGACTATTCATTTTTGATAGGTACATAACCAAGTAAAGCGTGACAAGCACCGAATCTCCAAACAGAAATTTTTTGATGCTTTTATGGATCTAAATGCTGCTCCGAAAGATGATAATGGAAGTGATTTACAACCTCTCGATTTAAGATCGAGTTAATCAACTAAATTATGATCTAAATAGAAATGTATATTGAAGAAAATAGGAAGACATTTCAAAATGTATGAAAATAAATGAAAAATGTTAAACTGGTGGCGAAGATGCTTCTATAAATGCACACATAAAGGCAACTTCATACTAACTTATCGTAATTTATGAAAAATTATTCAATTTGGTATTTGATACCGGATTTGTACGGGAAATTGGCTAGTTGGTAATATTATACCAATATTTAGGAATAAGAATATAGAATTAATCCTAAATATTTTCGGCTGATAACCATTGTTAGCGGCTTGAGTAAACTGTTTTAACCTAGTGTCATCTTTGCTAGCCATGGATTACGATCTTCATGAAGGGGAACGGGGCGGAACGTAACCCTTGACTATCGAAAATGACCGAGCGTTTGAACACATATTCTTACGATTTTCTTATTTTACATGACATGCAATGTGGTTGTAGGCAAGATTATATATCTATGGATATTTTTTTATTTTGCATTCTCTGATTTAAACTTCTGAAGAGAAGAAAACAACTTTTACTGTGCATTTATTGACTGTTTTTTGTTTTGAAGAATATTTTAATATTTTAGACGAAAAAGAGTTTTTGACGTTTTGAAAATTCAGAATATGTATCTGTTCAGTATAGAACGGGAAAATAAATAAGGATAATTACATAATCAAGTCATGAGGGATGAATTCCATTACATTATAATAAATTATCCACATTTTCTAGACGAGAGAAATACTTATAACCAAATGGGTGTCTTCCTGCTGTTCCTACATTTTAAAAATACATACTCCTTCTATTCCTACAAACAAAGTACAATAGCTGTTATAAGGTAATATGTTGTTTTTGCAATTTAGATTTAATTGATTTAAAGGTTAATAAGTACCAAAAAATACACTCTTTTCAATTATTTATGAAGAATTATGATGATAAAGATAAAAACATGGGTGCATTGCAGAGAATAATATAATGTATTATGAATTTATATAAAAGGAAAATCCGAATGTTTCAAACATGAAAAGAAATGAGAAAGAAAAGGCTTAATACAGGAATGAAAAATTCAAATTGAATAATACCTGGGAGTTTAGAATCTGAAATGTAATCTTAATTATAGACAGCCTTGATGATGGGATCAATGCTATAAAAGTATAAGGTTGAATAGGCAAAGCCAAATTTAAACCACACTTCGTAAAACACAAAGTAAAATGATCCACAGTACCCAGATCATCCCATGCATCGCAACTAGGACCCATAGATGGTATCATGTCATGTATTAGTCCAAGATCACAATGACTTTATAAAGACTGATTTTGTGATTTTTGCTAATTTTGTTCATGGTTCATGTATCATGCTTCTTTCAGAACTTAAATTCTTGCTTTATGTGGACTGATTTTATGAAAAATTCTGATATCTAAACATATTATATTGTCTATTAATTTTTATACTTTTTTCTCTTATGAATAAGAAGATATTTTATATAGGACACTATGTGCTTAAAGTATAATATGGTGCTTAAATACTGCTTTTATTATTTACATTGTGTTTGTAAACTCCATCTTTTGGGGCTTTGTACCAATTTGTTTTGATTTATATTTAATGGATTCACTCAATGGCCAAAACTGTTCATTACACGAAACAAACACAAGAGTTTTGAATAAAGATAGAAAAATAAAATAAAACAGATTAAGGATACAGGACAATATAAATGAGACAAGAACATGCATTTATTAGAACTTTTTAAAAACATTTTCTACTAGCAATATTAATTATTTTCAAATTGGACATTGATAAAAAAATCTCTAGAGGTGTTATGGATATTCACCTAAAGTTAATTAGCTTTATCAGGGGCGGATCCAGGATTTTAGGTTAGGGGCGCAAACTTGAATTTTCGCCGTCGCTCCGCTCGGCTTAAATATTTTGAGGTAAAATTATCGAAAGATTCTTTATTAAGCTGTGGACAACCCATGCTTTGTAAATTTTAGGGGGCGCACGCCCCGCCACGCCCCCGCCTGAATCCGCCCCTGTTTATGTTTTTACAACCTAATCTGATTTAATTCCTTGTTTATTTAACTATTCCTCCTATTCCTACATGGATATTTTACAAATGACATCCCTTATTGCAAAATGTAGGAATAGGAGGAAAAAACCATAAAATTGTAGATAAAGGCCAAATAATTACTCTTTTCTAAAGTTATATCTTCAGGCTACAAACAGGACAGATCTCATAGATTTATGTAAGTTAATACGAATTGTAAACAAGCGAGTGTGTCCTCCTGAACAGATTTAAATTGTGTGTTTGTTGTTGTATATATTGAGGACATCATCTAAATATATTCGTCTTGCCGTTTGGAAATCTGCTTGAGCAAGGTGTTTTTAAGTAGTAACTGGTCAAAAATAAATTGTGCCTTGGAATATCAAACCACTAATCGGAACAGATTTTGCAGACCAAACAGTCCATTATTTTGTTATGGTATACTTCAGTGCAAGGTTTTTGTTACTGCAATCCGTGTGATCTAAACAAATATTTTTTTTCTAAACCTACAACAACTTTTTGATTATTATTATCATGAACGGGAAAACTCGGTCACGAAACTATCATGTGGAAGTATTTTGGCGCTTGCCTTCTTGACTAATCTTAGCTAAAATAATATTACGAGCTACCGAACAAGGTCGTTTAGGTATTTAAATTATTTTGTGTGGACGACATCAACATCTGACAATGGGGTTATTTGAAGGAATTTCGAAATTTGCTCTTGTATCAGCAATTTTGACTGCTGTTGGATTTATTGTACACTTGATCGGTTATGGCGCACCGTACTGGATTAAGTCTGGACTTTTTCATTCTGGACTTTGGAAAAGTTGCATTGACAGCATATGTGGGGACTTTGTTGGTAGTTCATTCCTTCCAGGTTTGTATCCCTTTATCAACTACAAATGTTTTTTTTAGAATCTAAAAACCAAACTTATGGCAATAACTGTAGCTTCAAGAAATAAATACAATTTCTGTTTGTTTTAATTGCATCAAATTTCCGGTTGGAAATTTTTATAAATCATTTGAAGTATTTTCTATAATATAAACTACTCTAAACTTTCCATTTTTAATAACATAATTGCTTCAGATCTACAATACCAATGGAACTAAGTACATTGTACATAGTTTTGATTTATTTTTGAAAGTGATAAAGGTCACTATTAAGCTGTGTACAAGTCTTAAAAGCGAAATATCTACACGTAAATTTCTTGCTTTTAGCATGGTTAGAGGCAGCCCAAGCCATCGAGACAATTGCCTTTCTAGCAATACTTGCTGCACTCATCGTTATGGGACTAAAACTTACAGTCATGAAAGAGCAGAAGATATTGCCAATTTTCATCTTTATACTTCAGTTTGCTTCAGGTTGTATACGTTATATTTTTAAAATAGATGGTGAATTGCTTACGGGTCCGTGGTATGACGAAGATGTAGTCGACCGAACACTGACATATAAAATGTTTTTACTTTAATTTTAATCGACCTTTATGTGTCACTGTGTGTATTTCCACCTATTGAGGCTCTTCATTGGAACCCTTTGTTATATGAAACCATATACACAACATATCAATTTACAGTTCCAGCTCAGTAATAACAGTATAATAAGACTGAAAGACTATATTTTCTGTTAAAACACACAAGCGGTTTACCTTTCGTATAAAGAGACATATATACACATGTGTATATAATTATGTCTCTGCTTTCGTAAGCGTGCATAATTTACAAGTATTTGTAAAGAAAGTTGGATGAAAAGTAAGAACTAGCAAATCGGACCTTTCATAACTTTTGTTTCAATGATAAAATTAATTTAAACTCGTCCAGTGTTTCAAGGAACTTTCAACAGTTCAAATATGACATACGATATAAGATCATTGTTTTTAGTAATCAATGAGTATTTTTTGTGAGACTTGTGCATTTAGTTAAGAAGAAAGACTAAACATATCAAATCATTACCAATAATTGTCAAAAAACAGACAATAGTATTTTTTCATTTTTTAAAATTTCAGAGTGTCCATCACTGTTAAGCAATTATTGTTATATTTATTATAAATTCCATTTTCTGACATGATAAACTCGAGAAAATATTATCTTCGTCCAATCGAATTGCGCGAGATTCAGTGTCAAAGACCAGATAGTGTATTTAGTTATCATGGGTAAACTGAGTAGGGAGAAAACATCAAAGACTTTTTAAGATAATTTCTTGTAATTAGAACCAATTTTACAATTAAAAGATTTTGCTAGAATTGTGTAATCCTGTATGTCCATGATGTCTAATGGCATAGATTTCAAATGTCTCATTAATGTATTTATAGCAACAGAAATACAGGCACCTGTCTGCTTTTTTCCCATATATACTATATCTAGGACATTGCCTGTGAACAGAAAGTTTGGTCTCGTTCTGACTATTTCAATGGTATTGTCATGCAAAGCGTTTAAATGAACCGAGGTATAGCGATGACCGAACTGCCTCCCACATTTTGTTTTTGTTTTTATAGATTTAGATCGCAAACTATTCAAGCTGGCTTCTTAAGTAAATTCGTTGTGCACATAGTTCAAATTTACTGTAAATGTGGATTTGTCAACTAGTAAATCTATTTACCGACCAATTTATAAACGAGGGTCCGAATGGGGTTTCTTCATTTCAGTATTCCTTGATTTTATGCCATTTGTCTTCTTTTTTTTTAATAAATTTTGACCATTGTTCTCTATTCTTATATATTTTAGCACCCCATTATTCACTATTCTTAATTGTATTGATCTATTTTCTTTATTCTTATCCCCCCCCTTTATTCTGCAGTTTTGACAAATTATTTTGAATTTCTATTTTATAAACCCGGTCCAGACCCTCATATATTACAGTACAATTAGCTTTATGTAGAGTCGGTGCATTTTTACATACAAATCGAAAATGTTGCGTATACGTCAGTGTGACCAAAACCCAACAACACAATGAACCAAGCTACATCAATAGGTCACGCCGTTTTAGAATCTAAAGCATTCCGGGTAATATTTTGAAATGTACACTAAAACGTTGTGATTGGTTTTTAAAATACGTCATAAACAATGGAAATTCAACCTGTGACGTAGCGTTATTTTCATTTCGGTGTACGAACAATATTACCCATAGTCCTTTAGATTCTGAAAAGGCGAAATAATATGTTGTATTCTTTTTTCTCCATAGATTTATAATAAGATGCAGAGCTTCATAAATAAATAATTTATCAAATTCCTTATTTCAGTTGGTCTGATCCTTCTAGGTGTGATCATTTATGGTGCCGAAATGTCTTCAGCTAGCTATGGATTCGCGTTTATTTTTGTGATTATAGCTTCGATTATAATGCTTGTCGCTGGAGTCTTCAGTTTCTTGGATTGGAGAGGCTCTTCTTCACCTGTATAAACAGTAGTACAATCGAAACAAGCATTGCACGTTGCATTCATTAGGATTCAGTATATTGTAATTGAGCTTCCGAGTATATTGTTACAGGCTTTAGATATTAATCTTGCTATTACAAACTAGACTGAGTGTAAAGCAGAAACATATTCACCTAATAACCATGTTATATTGCCTTGAATGCTCCAAATAAATGAGAAATTAAAAATTAAAGAGTCATGAAAGCTCGTAAAACAAAGAATTTCGATTTTCCACCATGTCGATTGAATCAATATCTAAAAAACCGATGAAGCAAAACTTTCTCATTTACATAATCAGTAAAATACTAACAGCCAGCTTTAGAATTAGTCAGTTATATCATTATGTATAAATAAAAAAATATGAAACATGTCTGACGTATTTTTTTCCATTTTATCTCAAAGAAACTAAAGAGAGCTTTTAAATGTCATTTTGAAAACTAGTACAAATGACATGAACAAATATTTTCAATACTGCTGAAAGTGGCGTTAAATACCAATCATATATATATTATATATGTACAGGTACGTCTTCCTTAATCTTTCTTTTTAATATAAATAATCATTGTGGAACTTGAATTAAGGCCAGGGTACTTATTTTGGTATTTTATTATTCTAAACAGGATTCTTTTTAATACTTACTAGAAAGTATGCAACCCGCAGTTGCTGGGGTATAAACAAACTTTAAATAGATATGTATGAATAAAACAGAGAACTACATCACAGTTGTTGAGACGGCTGGTTGTTGAAATAACTTTATAAAAAATTAGCACTTCATACTCGATTTTTAAAATAAATTACCAGATTATCATAGTGTCATGATTAAGACAATAATCGTTGGTGGTGTCTATTACGCATTTGCGGAAATTGATACACATCTACGATAAGACCTTTTCAATAACTCTCGACACCGACATATGACACCTACAGTTTACATGTAAAATAGAGGGGAACTATGAAAGGCAAAAATCATTCATGAGTAACATTCATGATTATAATACCATAATCGATTTAACAGTGTAAGATTATTTTGAAAAAACGGCTATTTGCGATTTTTTTCTTGTCTTTTTCTCTCTCAATCTCAAGTACTTTCTCTCTCTCTCAATCTCAAGTAATACGACATTTCATGTTGAAACGTGACTGTCCATCCGTCCGTCCGTCCGTTCCACACTTTTTTTGAAACTGTATTAGGGAGTTATAGGATGAAATTTGAAAAAAGGCAGGACAAGAGTTTTGAGTAAAAGTAAAAAAAAAAAAAAGGCAGGAGGAGCAACTTTGCAAAAAAAAAAAAAGGCAAGATGACAATTTATGTGAGAAAAGTCAGGATAAACTAATAAAAAAAGGCAGGACCGAATAGAGTGAAAAAATAAAAAGGCAGGACAGAGATTACAACTAAAAAAATGCAGGACACAATTTTCATCCTAGCCCCCCACCCCTTCCCATTAAAAATCAAATGGTAGCTTCCTTAGCTCGTATCTCAAACGATCTTCACCACACTTAATGTACACATTCAATAAAAAGTAAAATAACAAAATTACCAAACCCCAAGAAAATTCAAAACGGAAAGTCCCTTATCAAATGGCAAAATAAAAAGCTCAAACACATCAAACGAACGGAAAGCAACTGTCATATTCCTGACTTGGTACAGGCATTTTCTTATGTAGCAAATGGTGGATTAAACCCGGTTTTACAGCTAGCTAAAACTCTCACGTGTATGAGATTCGCATAGAATTCCATTATATTGACAAAAAAGTGTGGTTAAAACAAACAGACATAACAGGTAAAAATGTCAAAAATTGGGGTACAGCATTCAACATTGACAAGACAAGAATACGAAAATGACCATAGCACAATAATACAATGGCGGGAAGTATAAATACAGAGCCACACCAAAAGGATATTACAAAAAATGGACTAAACGGTAAAGGTTAAAAATATACAAAGACAAATAAACAGAACACTATAACACGTAATTAAGATGATAAACAACGTCAGTACCTAGAATCAATACTTTAAATCTACTAGTATTATGTATTATTTGTGAAGTTGATACGGAATATTTATCAACAAGGTCTTGATATCTTCCGATGAACTTTTTTAGGAAAGGACGAGATGTTCTGGTTCATCAACTTTCTGCTCAGACACTTGTGATATTTTATAAAGTCTGAGTAGCACCTGCAAGCTCTTGAAATTCAATATGCAGGTAAAGTTGGTATATTGCTGCTAAGGTGGCGGGGAATTTACAATTTTTAAATCGTCTCGTTTGTCATAGATTCTGGTACTGAGATGGTCGCTTATGTCAACTTCGAGGCACAAGTCTAAAAATGAGGCGTAGGAAGCCGTGCCTGTTGTTTCTTTAATTTCTAGTTCTCGAGGATATATTAATCGATCCCAATCATAAAAGTTTGGATTGTTATTAGAAAGAACATCATTTGCATCAATATATCTGAATGTGAAATTTAATGAACTGACTTCTTTGATCTTTTTGTTTTTGACAAGTGTATGAATGAACTCCGACTCATAAGAAATAAGAAGAGGTCGACAGTTCGTTCCCATAGGAATGCAGATAATTTGCTGAAAATGTCTACCTCCAAATTCAACAAATATTTTGTAAATCAGAAACTCCAGCATACTAAACACATGTTCCTTGGCGTAGCATGTTTTACCTTTTTTTCACTATTAACAAAATATGCCGTATGGTATCCCAAAGCAATAAATGTATAGCGTATACTACCATTTTTATATTGAAAGGCATCGTGAATTATTTCTTTAAGACGATTTTTCAATTTCACATGGGAAATGGTGGTATAAAGGGTTGAAAAAAAATTAAAAAAATCAAAGATTTTGATAGAATAAATTTCAGAGAAAGATAGGGAATTAAAATTATCCAGAAGTTCTTAAGAGTCTTTTAGAATCCGAATATGGTTAATACCACTACGTGAGTAAACAGTTTCACAGTATTTCTGAAGATCTTCTTTCACTGCGGACATATTTTTTGTCAATCTAATGGACAATTCCTTTGTAGAACATGCAGATGAGCCTACAATGTACCGTTGTTTGTACGGAATTTTGTGAAGTTTAGATATCCCATACAAACAAGGTAAGTCCTCAGATTTACTGTTCAGTGTTAAATGTTCATTGAAGCCATGAAGGACTTATGATTCGTCAAAATCTCATCCTTGTCAAACGATATGTTTTTGTATGTGGGATTATCCGAGTGCTCATTTATTCCTAATTCTTTTACAGGACAATCGTAGTAGTACGATTTACATATAAAAAAATATTATTTGAAGCTTTGTCCGCAGGAACAACAACATATTTATCGCACACAGTTTTTCAACTTTTGAATTTGACGTTTTATCAGAGACCTGATTGGTTTTGCCCATTCAGACAAAGTTTCCAATTCTAAGGGCAAAATAAGGGGAGAGCCTATTGATTTTTAGGGGCAAAAGTCACATTATAGCTTTTTTGTTTTGTTTGTTGCGACAGTATTTTCCGCTGCATTATACCCTTGTTAATGTTGAGATAATTACTTATTAGATTTGGGGAACAATTTGGAATAAACTTCCCGTTCCTTTGTAGCAATATTCAAGCAGCACCCGCGCATGGCGTTCATATCTCTGACCCATACGTTACTAGTGAGCTTGTTGACATTACAGAGTCTTTTAAGACAGCGACAACCGCCGACCCAAACATGGATTTGTTGTCCCACGATTGTGGTAATCCCTTTGTAGGTTCTGTGGTCGTCATCTCGAACCGATTGACCGTTAATGCCAAACAGTTTCATATTGGTGCAATAAATTTGTAAAGATGGTCCGCCATATTTCCAAGAAGATTGTGTTCTACTGGGAGATGAAATATACCCAAATCGCCACACTTTAGTAACATCATTTACAACACACACGATCAATCTTAATCCGGAAAATTTTCCGAAAAAATGCCGAAAAATTAATCGTTTTGACATTGAATACAGAATCATGTTGAACAGCAAATTGGTGAATTATAAAACTATAAAGATATGAATACATTGTGGAGGCATCCACGATCAAAATTTCCAGACATTGTACATACATTGCCAAAAGACGTAAACATTGTTTGATCACACATTTACTTTAAATTTCATCGAGGAATGTAGTATTTTAACAGGCTGTAACAGAAATTTGAAAATTAGAACAAATTATTTAAGCCATCAGTATATGTTTTATTTATAGAAATTCATAATGAATCACTTATCAGTAAGCTAAACAGTTTATGCACTGGTAAGTAAAACAGTTAAACGTATAGAGAAATATCAACTGGATGCATATATAAGTATAAAAATAAGGAGATGACAACTATCCACCAAGGTTCAAATAAAGTAGGTTGTTTTAGCATGTGTACATGTAAGTTAGTTACAACAATCTTTTACTCTCTTCCTCGACTGTGACATTACCCGAGTCTTTAGTTTTCTATGTAGTGTTTTGTCCTTTCGTCGTATTTGTTTTGTTGTCAGTTAGTTTCTCTTCTACTAATGCGTTTTGGATAATCTTTTGGCATCTTCTGTCTTTTTTAGAAATCCAATACGCAGCTTGGACCTAGAATGTTATTTGATTTAAGCTTCATCATTATCATTATGACGACACGATCAGATACAATTTTAGTATCAATGTAGTATATTCTGTATTGTAGATCATTGTACAGTGCAATATTGTTGTCAAACAACATTGTATAATTTTTCGAATAGAACAAACACAAAAGGCGTCATTTAAAGTATTTTTTCTCAAGTTTTAATATTGATGATGTTTTGTAATCTGTATAAAATATAGCTTTGAATTATTCAATATTAACAATAACTTTCAAGCATTTGTTGAAGAAAACGTCTGAAGGTTTTAAAAGCTTTTCATCAGCTACAACATATTTTGCATTGAGAAGATGGAAAGCTTTGTTAACTTTATGACACAATTGACAGTTACTTTTAGACCATGGAAGATATCTAGGCGTTGAAAGTATATGACTCTTTTAAAATCGAAATCTTGAAGCACAATGAGCTATGGAGACTGTCATTGTCTGTCTGAATCTTTACAAAAATCGATAAAACAACACGTATTTATTTGTAAAATCAGAGATTTTTTTAAGTCAATAGTATAGTTATAGGGAGTTGGTAAAATCCCTGCAATTGTTAAGAATTACTTAGCATCACTGAAAATATTGCTAAAGATTTTGTTAGATACTAGTATCTAATTTAGCTATTCAATCCATTTAAATCTCATGAATATATTAGAAACATATTTTTTTCTAAACCAGAATAGCATGTTTGAACTTTTTTATCAACCGATAACCTTTTTTCTAAATAAGAATAACATATTTGAACTTTTTTATCATCAGATAACCTGTTAAAACTTTTTTGAGAGACAATGATTATGAATAAAAGGCATGTTTACAGTTACAAAGATAACAAATTGCTGTTGAACTATTTTGGGATGATGTCTACTGTTACACAATTACCCTTCATCTTTGCATACAATTAAAATAGATTAAGATATTTTACATTATCTAAGATATGATTTAAATTCATTGGCATGTAATTAATCACATTACTAATGGTTAAATTGGTATTTCTATGCTCCAGCTAGGGGCATTATGTTTTCCGGTCTGTGCGTCCGTTCGTTCGTCAGTCCGTCTGTCCCGTTTCAGGTTAAAGTTTTTGGTCAAGGTAGTTTTTGATGAAGTTGAAGTCCAATCAACTTGAAATTTAATACACATGTTTCCTATGATATGATTTTTCTAATTTAATGCCAAATTAGAGTTTTGACCCCAATTTCACGGTCCACTGAACATAGAAAATGATAGTGCCCGCTTGATTTTATGCCATTTGTCTTCTTTTTTTTTAATAAATTTTGACCATTGTTCTCTATTCTTATATATTTTAGCACCCCATTATTCACTATTCTTAATTGTATTGATCTATTTTCTTTATTCTTATCCCCCCCCTTTATTCTGCAGTTTTGACAAATTATTTTGAATTTCTATTTTATAAACCCGGTCCAGACCCTCATATATTACAGTACAATTAGCTTTATGTAGAGTCGGTGCATTTTTACATACAAATCGAAAATGTTGCGTATACGTCAGTGTGACCAAAACCCAACAACACAATGAACCAAGCTACATCAATAGGTCACGCCGTTTTAGAATCTAAAGCATTCCGGGTAATATTTTGAAATGTACACTAAAACGTTGTGATTGGTTTTTAAAATACGTCATAAACAATGGAAATTCAACCTGTGACGTAGCGTTATTTTCATTTCGGTGTACGAACAATATTACCCATAGTCCTTTAGATTCTGAAAAGGCGAAATAATATGTTGTATTCTTTTTTCTCCATAGATTTATAATAAGATGCAGAGCTTCATAAATAAATAATTTATCAAATTCCTTATTTCAGTTGGTCTGATCCTTCTAGGTGTGATCATTTATGGTGCCGAAATGTCTTCAGCTAGCTATGGATTCGCGTTTATTTTTGTGATTATAGCTTCGATTATAATGCTTGTCGCTGGAGTCTTCAGTTTCTTGGATTGGAGAGGCTCTTCTTCACCTGTATAAACAGTAGTACAATCGAAACAAGCATTGCACGTTGCATTCATTAGGATTCAGTATATTGTAATTGAGCTTCCGAGTATATTGTTACAGGCTTTAGATATTAATCTTGCTATTACAAACTAGACTGAGTGTAAAGCAGAAACATATTCACCTAATAACCATGTTATATTGCCTTGAATGCTCCAAATAAATGAGAAATTAAAAATTAAAGAGTCATGAAAGCTCGTAAAACAAAGAATTTCGATTTTCCACCATGTCGATTGAATCAATATCTAAAAAACCGATGAAGCAAAACTTTCTCATTTACATAATCAGTAAAATACTAACAGCCAGCTTTAGAATTAGTCAGTTATATCATTATGTATAAATAAAAAAATATGAAACATGTCTGACGTATTTTTTTCCATTTTATCTCAAAGAAACTAAAGAGAGCTTTTAAATGTCATTTTGAAAACTAGTACAAATGACATGAACAAATATTTTCAATACTGCTGAAAGTGGCGTTAAATACCAATCATATATATATTATATATGTACAGGTACGTCTTCCTTAATCTTTCTTTTTAATATAAATAATCATTGTGGAACTTGAATTAAGGCCAGGGTACTTATTTTGGTATTTTATTATTCTAAACAGGATTCTTTTTAATACTTACTAGAAAGTATGCAACCCGCAGTTGCTGGGGTATAAACAAACTTTAAATAGATATGTATGAATAAAACAGAGAACTACATCACAGTTGTTGAGACGGCTGGTTGTTGAAATAACTTTATAAAAAATTAGCACTTCATACTCGATTTTTAAAATAAATTACCAGATTATCATAGTGTCATGATTAAGACAATAATCGTTGGTGGTGTCTATTACGCATTTGCGGAAATTGATACACATCTACGATAAGACCTTTTCAATAACTCTCGACACCGACATATGACACCTACAGTTTACATGTAAAATAGAGGGGAACTATGAAAGGCAAAAATCATTCATGAGTAACATTCATGATTATAATACCATAATCGATTTAACAGTGTAAGATTATTTTGAAAAAACGGCTATTTGCGATTTTTTTCTTGTCTTTTTCTCTCTCAATCTCAAGTACTTTCTCTCTCTCTCAATCTCAAGTAATACGACATTTCATGTTGAAACGTGACTGTCCATCCGTCCGTCCGTCCGTTCCACACTTTTTTTGAAACTGTATTAGGGAGTTATAGGATGAAATTTGAAAAAAGGCAGGACAAGAGTTTTGAGTAAAAGTAAAAAAAAAAAAAAGGCAGGAGGAGCAACTTTGCAAAAAAAAAAAAAGGCAAGATGACAATTTATGTGAGAAAAGTCAGGATAAACTAATAAAAAAAGGCAGGACCGAATAGAGTGAAAAAATAAAAAGGCAGGACAGAGATTACAACTAAAAAAATGCAGGACACAATTTTCATCCTAGCCCCCCACCCCTTCCCATTAAAAATCAAATGGTAGCTTCCTTAGCTCGTATCTCAAACGATCTTCACCACACTTAATGTACACATTCAATAAAAAGTAAAATAACAAAATTACCAAACCCCAAGAAAATTCAAAACGGAAAGTCCCTTATCAAATGGCAAAATAAAAAGCTCAAACACATCAAACGAACGGAAAGCAACTGTCATATTCCTGACTTGGTACAGGCATTTTCTTATGTAGCAAATGGTGGATTAAACCCGGTTTTACAGCTAGCTAAAACTCTCACGTGTATGAGATTCGCATAGAATTCCATTATATTGACAAAAAAGTGTGGTTAAAACAAACAGACATAACAGGTAAAAATGTCAAAAATTGGGGTACAGCATTCAACATTGACAAGACAAGAATACGAAAATGACCATAGCACAATAATACAATGGCGGGAAGTATAAATACAGAGCCACACCAAAAGGATATTACAAAAAATGGACTAAACGGTAAAGGTTAAAAATATACAAAGACAAATAAACAGAACACTATAACACGTAATTAAGATGATAAACAACGTCAGTACCTAGAATCAATACTTTAAATCTACTAGTATTATGTATTATTTGTGAAGTTGATACGGAATATTTATCAACAAGGTCTTGATATCTTCCGATGAACTTTTTTAGGAAAGGACGAGATGTTCTGGTTCATCAACTTTCTGCTCAGACACTTGTGATATTTTATAAAGTCTGAGTAGCACCTGCAAGCTCTTGAAATTCAATATGCAGGTAAAGTTGGTATATTGCTGCTAAGGTGGCGGGGAATTTACAATTTTTAAATCGTCTCGTTTGTCATAGATTCTGGTACTGAGATGGTCGCTTATGTCAACTTCGAGGCACAAGTCTAAAAATGAGGCGTAGGAAGCCGTGCCTGTTGTTTCTTTAATTTCTAGTTCTCGAGGATATATTAATCGATCCCAATCATAAAAGTTTGGATTGTTATTAGAAAGAACATCATTTGCATCAATATATCTGAATGTGAAATTTAATGAACTGACTTCTTTGATCTTTTTGTTTTTGACAAGTGTATGAATGAACTCCGACTCATAAGAAATAAGAAGAGGTCGACAGTTCGTTCCCATAGGAATGCAGATAATTTGCTGAAAATGTCTACCTCCAAATTCAACAAATATTTTGTAAATCAGAAACTCCAGCATACTAAACACATGTTCCTTGGCGTAGCATGTTTTACCTTTTTTTCACTATTAACAAAATATGCCGTATGGTATCCCAAAGCAATAAATGTATAGCGTATACTACCATTTTTATATTGAAAGGCATCGTGAATTATTTCTTTAAGACGATTTTTCAATTTCACATGGGAAATGGTGGTATAAAGGGTTGAAAAAAAATTAAAAAAATCAAAGATTTTGATAGAATAAATTTCAGAGAAAGATAGGGAATTAAAATTATCCAGAAGTTCTTAAGAGTCTTTTAGAATCCGAATATGGTTAATACCACTACGTGAGTAAACAGTTTCACAGTATTTCTGAAGATCTTCTTTCACTGCGGACATATTTTTTGTCAATCTAATGGACAATTCCTTTGTAGAACATGCAGATGAGCCTACAATGTACCGTTGTTTGTACGGAATTTTGTGAAGTTTAGATATCCCATACAAACAAGGTAAGTCCTCAGATTTACTGTTCAGTGTTAAATGTTCATTGAAGCCATGAAGGACTTATGATTCGTCAAAATCTCATCCTTGTCAAACGATATGTTTTTGTATGTGGGATTATCCGAGTGCTCATTTATTCCTAATTCTTTTACAGGACAATCGTAGTAGTACGATTTACATATAAAAAAATATTATTTGAAGCTTTGTCCGCAGGAACAACAACATATTTATCGCACACAGTTTTTCAACTTTTGAATTTGACGTTTTATCAGAGACCTGATTGGTTTTGCCCATTCAGACAAAGTTTCCAATTCTAAGGGCAAAATAAGGGGAGAGCCTATTGATTTTTAGGGGCAAAAGTCACATTATAGCTTTTTTGTTTTGTTTGTTGCGACAGTATTTTCCGCTGCATTATACCCTTGTTAATGTTGAGATAATTACTTATTAGATTTGGGGAACAATTTGGAATAAACTTCCCGTTCCTTTGTAGCAATATTCAAGCAGCACCCGCGCATGGCGTTCATATCTCTGACCCATACGTTACTAGTGAGCTTGTTGACATTACAGAGTCTTTTAAGACAGCGACAACCGCCGACCCAAACATGGATTTGTTGTCCCACGATTGTGGTAATCCCTTTGTAGGTTCTGTGGTCGTCATCTCGAACCGATTGACCGTTAATGCCAAACAGTTTCATATTGGTGCAATAAATTTGTAAAGATGGTCCGCCATATTTCCAAGAAGATTGTGTTCTACTGGGAGATGAAATATACCCAAATCGCCACACTTTAGTAACATCATTTACAACACACACGATCAATCTTAATCCGGAAAATTTTCCGAAAAAATGCCGAAAAATTAATCGTTTTGACATTGAATACAGAATCATGTTGAACAGCAAATTGGTGAATTATAAAACTATAAAGATATGAATACATTGTGGAGGCATCCACGATCAAAATTTCCAGACATTGTACATACATTGCCAAAAGACGTAAACATTGTTTGATCACACATTTACTTTAAATTTCATCGAGGAATGTAGTATTTTAACAGGCTGTAACAGAAATTTGAAAATTAGAACAAATTATTTAAGCCATCAGTATATGTTTTATTTATAGAAATTCATAATGAATCACTTATCAGTAAGCTAAACAGTTTATGCACTGGTAAGTAAAACAGTTAAACGTATAGAGAAATATCAACTGGATGCATATATAAGTATAAAAATAAGGAGATGACAACTATCCACCAAGGTTCAAATAAAGTAGGTTGTTTTAGCATGTGTACATGTAAGTTAGTTACAACAATCTTTTACTCTCTTCCTCGACTGTGACATTACCCGAGTCTTTAGTTTTCTATGTAGTGTTTTGTCCTTTCGTCGTATTTGTTTTGTTGTCAGTTAGTTTCTCTTCTACTAATGCGTTTTGGATAATCTTTTGGCATCTTCTGTCTTTTTTAGAAATCCAATACGCAGCTTGGACCTAGAATGTTATTTGATTTAAGCTTCATCATTATCATTATGACGACACGATCAGATACAATTTTAGTATCAATGTAGTATATTCTGTATTGTAGATCATTGTACAGTGCAATATTGTTGTCAAACAACATTGTATAATTTTTCGAATAGAACAAACACAAAAGGCGTCATTTAAAGTATTTTTTCTCAAGTTTTAATATTGATGATGTTTTGTAATCTGTATAAAATATAGCTTTGAATTATTCAATATTAACAATAACTTTCAAGCATTTGTTGAAGAAAACGTCTGAAGGTTTTAAAAGCTTTTCATCAGCTACAACATATTTTGCATTGAGAAGATGGAAAGCTTTGTTAACTTTATGACACAATTGACAGTTACTTTTAGACCATGGAAGATATCTAGGCGTTGAAAGTATATGACTCTTTTAAAATCGAAATCTTGAAGCACAATGAGCTATGGAGACTGTCATTGTCTGTCTGAATCTTTACAAAAATCGATAAAACAACACGTATTTATTTGTAAAATCAGAGATTTTTTTAAGTCAATAGTATAGTTATAGGGAGTTGGTAAAATCCCTGCAATTGTTAAGAATTACTTAGCATCACTGAAAATATTGCTAAAGATTTTGTTAGATACTAGTATCTAATTTAGCTATTCAATCCATTTAAATCTCATGAATATATTAGAAACATATTTTTTTCTAAACCAGAATAGCATGTTTGAACTTTTTTATCAACCGATAACCTTTTTTCTAAATAAGAATAACATATTTGAACTTTTTTATCATCAGATAACCTGT